CCATGCAATGGCATGGCTGGCCACACTTCGACCAACAGAATCACACAAGAGGCATAGCCTAGCTCGGCAAACACAACAACCTGGCCAGATGGGCTTTGGCTGGAAAAAGTGGCACAAGTATAGAAACATGTGATCAAATAAAGAAACATTAACATTTAACTAAACTGTTCATTACATCGTTTAACATTAAACATAGGAGTCGCCGATCAATCCTTGGCAACAGAATAAGCAGCACCAACAACGGCTTCAACCTCATCTACAGATCCCTCAGCGGACCCTTGCGGAGAATTTGGATCAAAGGCATCCTAGCCTTGCGACTCAACAACCAACTGCAGGTGGCGGCGAAGGATCCTTCACCAGAAAAGGTTGGACCCAACCACGAAGGAAGCCTTGGCGTACTCGTCCATATGCAGTTGCATCTCCTCCGATGCCTTGTACTCATTGACGGCTTCCTCGACGGCCTCTTGCCTCAACTTGTCTCACTCAGCCTTAAGCTCGGCAATCTCCCGCTTCAGCTCCTGGACAAGACTAGCCTACTCAGCCAAGTGCGTCTTTAGCTCAGCCACCTCCCTCTCCAACGCAGTCGACCGCTCCCCAGTGGCCTAGAGCTCGGCCAACTGGGCCTTCTGCCGCAGATACTCGAAGTGTTCCCTCTCGTACGATGATCAAACATCTCGGAGATGATCAACTAGTGCGATCGCCGTACAAGCATTCTGTAGACGAATATGATAAGTATACCGAAAAGGAGAGCAAAACACAAGGAAGAAGAAGAAGAAGAGGATTTACCTGGGCTGCAGACCGCAGCAGTGCACACTCCAGGGCTCTGCTACCGACCCCAACCGGTTCCCGAGCTATGGACATTGTCATGATTCCCCGCAGTAACTGCTCAGGAACCCCATGTGTCTCCAGATTATCATTTACGTGAACCGACCACCTCGGCACGTGCAGACTCGAGTTGCTGCCTGCCTCAGTTACCGACGCACCAGTAGGACGACAGACCCCTTTGGGGTCAACCATGACAACATCGTCCTCCTCGACCTCTCGTTGCCGAACACTTCTTCGCTAACGAGCCGCCCTGTCCTCGGATCGTCGCCGCTCTTCAGCCTTGGGACAAACCTTCGGTTGCACACTGGCTCATTCCTGCCTTTGTCGGAGCACCTTCATCTGCGAACAATTTCTTTCTCGCTGGCCATACTCACACCTACAACGTAGGATACCCAAGATAAGTACAAAGCAGACAAGGTAAATTTAACTCAGCAAACAAAAGTAAAGGAAACAGATCGGCCACCCTTTCCATCAGCCCTGCGAGCATCAACATCTCCGAGCATGTGTACGCGATAATGTCGATTTTGTGGATCATGCTCAGGGCCAACCTCTCCTCCCAAGTAAGCGCCGACCATTGGGGTTGCGGTAGAATCGTCCTTGGCCCCCGTAGCTCAGCAGGAAAAGGGAGGCCCTCGGTGATACGCACAAAGAAGAAGGGGCCCCGACCAACGAATGAATATTCCGCTGGGTGGAGAAGCAATAATACCCTACTGGTGGTGTTTTAGTTGGAGCATAAAGCTCACCATCCCCAGGGTTAGTTCGATATCACGGACGACACAATAGGACATAAGACCGAGCAAAAACCTAAAGGAGTTCGGCATCAGTTACACCGGCAACACCCTGTATCAGTTTAGCACCTCGGCGAACCCTTCTCTCAACAGGAACCTCAGCCCAACCTTCAAGCTGTGCTCATAAACACAATTCACCGGGCTAAGCATCAGTGACCATCTCCCCGGGTAGCGGACACCTCATTTGGTATTCTGCAGGAATGGCGTACGTAGCTCGGATCCGAGCCATATCCCCGGGCATAGTACCGAACTGGTGACCTGCCTAAAGAGGAAGCTCTGTCTCTATCCTGGAGGTACCAGCCTCGACTTCCTCAACTTTGGCAGCCACGAAATCTCTCAGCTCAGGCTCGTAGGTCGAGCCGCGAGAAGAGCTGGAACCAGAACTACTGGAGGACCCAAATGAGGAAGAGGACAGAAGAGATGAAGAGGACATACCGGATAGTTTGCGGAGCTGAAGAACGAAAGCTATCGAGCTATCCGCCGAGCTGTCTACCGAGCTATCTGCCGAACTGTGTGACCGACGAATCTACCGAACAATGAATGCCAAACACTCTTGCAAGCAATACTAAGGATAGGGGGGAACCCCTCTTCCCTTTAATAACCATCAGGGGCATAGACCGAGGAGAGAACAACGGTGCAGATGAAGCACCGCTGACAACGCCTCAGAAGGCCAACTGACGCGACCAATAACGTACAACAGGAAGCCTCGGAAACCGAAGCGACACCCTCAGCAGGCAGCGGTTGCGCCCATTAATTGCACCAGTTCAACTACAGTACCGGTCCAACCTTCGACGCGGAGACCCGCAATACCGGTTCAGCCTTCGACACGGATCCTCGGCTAGGCAGCTTACGGCCACAAGGCCACACAATAGTTTGGCCGAGCACTCCCCCTCCCCGACAGCAGAACTGGGGGAGTGGTTCGGGAACCGAAATTTTGGTTCTTATTTAAGTTATGCAGCCGACGATCGGAGGACTCCTCGGCAACGACCAACATGGCGTGGATGACACACAAGCTCAGGAGTTCCTCAATCGGGCAACGAACCTAGGAAACCTCGTCCCTCGGCTTCGGAACTGGGGAAGTGGTGTTGGGGACATGGCTGAGCTAGCCATGAGGCCCCTGACCATCTATCACAGCTCGACCACATCGGCACAGTCCGACCGGGCTACGGCATTGCCATGGTCCCGTTGACCACGCCAGCTACTACCCTCACGGATAAGCCCGCCTAACAGATAGGGATGGGAAGACAACTCCGTCGAGGAGTAGGACTCTACCCCCCGTAACCTCGGCGGGGAACTCTGCCCCGATTTCCCTGGAAACCTACTCCGATAAGGATACGAACCCTCTGGCTATAAAAAGATACTCCATGCTCGAGATAAGGGACTCTTGACTTCTAACACCCACATTGCCAATTAGCCTGAACCAGCATCCCTATAGCTCGGTCCGGCCATCCACCACCTCCTACTGACTTGAGCGTCGGAGTACTTACCCGGGGTAATTCCTCGAGCCTCTAACTTCTTCCTTGCTCGCAGATCTTGAAGCGTGGCCTCATCCTTGAAGCTCGGCCCCGACCTACCAGCAAGAACTATCTGATCGGCATCCTCGATTCGTGCACTACCTCAGATTGAGCAGCATCAATCACCTTGTAACATATCCAAACCCCGATGAAATTGCTCACATGGCTGTCAGATCTATAAGAATAAATAGTAACAAATTGTTCTCAATGCCGTTATGGTATTGGTGATCGAAGTTGAGCTTGAGACTGGATCTGAATGCAGAATCGATTGTTGGCGCCGAAGCAGCATCGAGCCCAAGTCCACCATAATCGATTGTTGTCACGAGAGGAGCATGGAGTCATATATGAGATTTGAGATCTAAGAGATACTCAAATCTGAACACGGCCTAATAATAATATGAATACGGAATACCCACCCTCACGTCGTGAGGTTGAACAGTGAGCACAACCTAAAGGAATACAAATACTAAATACCCACAGCCGCTGTGGAAGGACGGCACAAGTTGTATGTGGCGAATCTGTTTCTTTGGTCACACATATGAGGAACTGCATCTCCTGTATGTTTCCATTGGCTCCAATCTCTTGCCTGGTTCTACTTCTTCGGTCTCTGTTACGTCTCCTTTGCCCTTCACACCATCCATGTCCCCATCTCCAAATGGTATTATTAACCATTCATCCTTGGTTTGGCCGCAGCCCAACGATCCATCTTGTATCTACCGGGAAGCAATCTTTAATTTGCCCTAAAATTAATGAAACTGCTGCCTCTTTCCTCATTTTGCTATCTCTTTTGACTCTGTCTTTGTCTCTATCCAGCTGAGTTCTCCCTATTCGGTGCCAAGCAGGAGCAGCCATAAACTTTTGTTTGGTTTATCTCAAAACGTGTCACTCTAATATACCATTCCATATGTCTGACATTAATTTAGTTGGCCATGTCTTTGCCTCCTTTGCAATTGACACTCCTGAACTGGAGTTGCTCCCTAGCCATGGTTCACAGGTTCTTTATCAGTAGCTCCTTGGCTATAGAGACTGATTGGATTCATCCACTTCAATACACAGCTTGTGTACAACTGGAGTTGCTCCCTAGACGGGAATGGAGATGGAATGGAATGACGAGAAAAGAAGACAAAAAAACAAAACAGAAAGGGAAACGGAGACAAAGATGGAACAGCTACCTTCTATTTTTCAAAATTTTCATCAATTAGATTTTATTTTAAAATTTAAAGAAGAATTAAAGACAAATTCTTATAGTTACAGGTGAGGCGAATCCTAACCACAGATCGATGCAAATTTATGATTAGGATGCAACTACTAATAAATTAGGAGGGATTATAATTGCAGATTTTTTAGGTGGTGTGTAGTTATTTATCCCTTCCATAATATTTCTTTTTCTTTTTAACACTTAACATGATGTCAATTGTCAATTGTCAGACAATAGGTAAAGGTAGAAACATGGTTCAAAGTATTGATATGATATGTCTCGTATCAAGTATCGTATCTTCTGAAAATGATAAAGTCCGAAACGCTTGTTTCTGGGTGTTTTGGATCTCCATTTTTTTTAATAATAAAAAATAAGTTATAAGCTTTCCAAAAAGCCAAACTTTAAAAAAAAACTAAAAAAAATAGATTTTCGTTTCTAAGTGCCGATATGATACTGCCGAAACTCGTATGATATCTATACTTTGAATCTTGGGTAGAAATAATACTAGTCAAATTAACTTAAGGGAGAATGAAATTCAGCAGAGGGATAGAATTTTTAAACCTAAAATACAGTTAGAATAGGTGCCGGCTCGAAATTGATGCGAATTCATAGAATGAGGGTTTTTGACATTATGAATATTTATACAATTGTGCAATGGAATTCAGAAATCTGAATTGGGTTTGCCATACTTTTTCGAATTAAAATTAGGGGTTTTACTTTTCAGTCCACCCCTAAAAATCTAAAACTCCACTTTAGGGGTGGACTGAATATCCTGTCCTTGATTGATGAATTTGCCCTAATATTATCCACTATTTTTTTTTTTACTCGATACTTAAGCCTTTGCAGATAGAGATCCTCTTCTTCGCACTGGAAGCCGCAACCTACCCGACAGACGTTGATGTTGATGACACAATGGACCAATGTTACTCTCAATCTCTCATCATCCCTCTCGCACTTTCTGCTATAATTTGATTAATTTCTACACCTCTCCCGTAATCTGGTCGGAAAACGGACCATTCTCTCTCTCTACCTTATAGCCAGAAGAATCTTCCGCTGTTCCAATGTCCAACTGTGCAATACTGACGTCATTCCTTCCGGCGAACGCCATCACATATTCAAGCTCGAAATGTTTCACCCATCATCTTGACACCAGAAGATCTTTCCATTTCGGCTTTCATTCTGTACCAAGAAAACTCGAAGTTCCTTCCGCAAAGAAGCAACTTTCCGAGTCAGAAACCCAGAAAACAGGTTCTCTTTATTGTCTGTTAATCTCGTATACTTCCCTTTTCGTTTTTTCTTCTATTTACGTTTTTTTTTTTGCTGCTTATTATTTGGTAGATGATAAATATTTGTTATCGACTAAAAAGGAACCTGAAGCTGAAGGGCTTGACTTGGGTTGGTTACCTGCGTTTCCTCATGTGTTGGTAGCTTCCATGTCCAATTTCCTCTTTGGATATCACATAGGGTAAGCTTCTTTTTCTTATACAAAATTGATGTTTGTGCGCATATGCATGGTTGATTGAATTCTGAAATAGAATGATGGGCACCTTATGATCTATTTCTTGTTTTGGGGATGGTCAGAATTGATGTGTTGAGTCCAAATGAATGCACAAAAACAGTATGTAGAGATATGCTCCTGTTGGGGTAGTTTAGATCAACCCGCTTAAAATTCTGTCTATAATTTTTGGTTTGAGCAAAAATGAGTAATTTCACTGTAGACACTATGTAGAAACTATGTCTTTACTAGGTCTGCACCCTTCACAGGGTAATGAATGGTCCAATAGTATCCATTGCTCGGGAGCTTGGTTTTGAAGGAAATTCTATTCTCGAGGGTCTAGTAGTCAGCATTTTCATTGCTGGTGCATTTATCGGAAGCATAGGTTCTGGGTCGTTGATTGATAACCTTGGTTGTCGACGCACAATTCAGATTGACACAATCCCATTGATTCTTGGTGCAATTTTAAGGTAATTCATGTTGCCCATTTAATATGGCTTTTGTGTGTCTTTACATCTGCATCTTGACTAAACTTTACAATATATGGCAGTGCACAGGCTCACTCAATGGATGAAATACTCTGGGGTAGATTCCTTGTTGGTCTTGGCATTGGTGTGAATACTGTCCTTGTTCCAATTTATATTTCAGAGGTACTAGTTCCTTACAATAGTAATAATTGCCTTCTCATAGAAGGTATTAATTATGGCATATTTGTTGAAAGAAAAAATAAAGATGCAGTGCATTTTGTATGTTGGATTGGGGATCAGAATTTTGGCTTCCATTTGAAGTTCTTTATTCCGTTTTCTGCCCTGCATCTATTAATTAATACAGGAGTAGGTGTTTTCTGGAATTAATCATATACCATTCTCTTTTATTCATCTGTAACTGAGCCAATGTGTTGTAGGTTGCTCCAACAAGATACAGGGGTTCATTGGGATCCCTATGTCAAATTGGCACTTGCCTAGGGATTATTGCATCATTGTTCTTAGGAATTCCTTCTGAAAATGATCCACATTGGTGAGGTTCTTTTCTTTAAATACACTATTTCATGGTTATCCTCAGATTAAATTCATAGTCTTTTTCTCTAGTAAGTAAATTCAACAGCGAACTATTGACCTAGTTGAATCATTACTGTTGGACTAATCCTTCTTTCATTTTCATTTCTTTGTTGATCTTTCCAGGATCCCTTCTCTCTTTCTCCTTTTTCTTTTTTCGTGTGTGTTAGGACAAGCAGCAACACTAAACCCAGGCTGGCGTATGGGAATAGCCAGCCCAAACCCAAGACCTACAAAAGAAGGAAGCCACGTTAGTTCTCAGGTCCAAGTAATGATAGGTTGGCATAACCGAAGGCAACAAGAAGTGGGAGTTGGTGGGAGTTAGCTTCCAAGATTGTAACAGACTGTAACAACCCCACAACTTTCAAGAATTGTAACAAATGTAACAACCGCAGTTATAAATACAATCAGAACAAGTAATAGAGAAGACATTCACACAAACTCTCTCTCTCTCTCTCTTTCTCTCTCCTCTCAGGAGGTGGTTCCTTAATTGAACCCTATGTTAGGAAGTTCCTACCAAATTTGGTTTCAAAGCCTAATGTCGAGCACACGATCAACCTCGATGGATGCTAGAGACAACCAAGTTGGAGTCAAACTCCATCGAGTATCCAGAGACCTCAGAGAATTGAAGGACACATTAGCAGCTCTCGTAAAGAAGCTCGATCAGACAGACGGTGAAGGAAACAAGGATGATGATCCTAGCAAGGGAGGGAGTCACGACAGCAACCGACAGAGCAGTTCATGGCTAGAAAGAAACACCAGAATCATATATCCACTCTTCTTCGATGGTGACCCTGTTCCCTGGATCTACAAGGTAGAGAATTTTTTTGAATACAACGAAACCCCTAGCCAAGATCGAGTCTCGCTAGCAGCAATCCACCTAGAAGGAGACACATTCTTTGGTACCAATGGTTTCAACGACGACGCCCATGGTTAGCCTGGATGGATTTCACAGAAGCATTCTACATCCAGTTTGGGGAATTAGGCTACGAGGATTATAATGAGAATCTTGCCAAACTTTGACAGTCTAGGAGTGTTCGTGACTTCCAAACGGAGTTCGAGTGCCTAGCTATACGCGCACAAGATTGGCCAGAGCGCGCGTTGGTTGGAGCCTTTGTCGGAGGGCTCAAAGAAGACATTAGAATGAAAGTAAGGGCACTCCAACCGACCATCGTCATGGATGTTGTTGTCTAGGCCAAGATCCAGGAAGAAAGGCTGAGTAGAACTAGGAAACTTAGCTGGCCTTGGTTACCACCCCAAAGATCAGCCAACTTTCCAATGCCTAATGAACATAAGAGCGAAGTATTCGGCCCAGTGAAGGAAGACAACCTTTTGGGTAAGTTGAGAGTTATGAACACCGTCCCATCCATTCCCTTCAAGAAGCTATCGTAGGTCGAGATGCAAGCCCGCAGAGAAAAGGGTCTCAACTATAATTGTGGTGAACGATTTGGGCCGGGCCATCGGTGTAAAACAATGCAAATTTACACCCTCCAAGATGACACCGAAGATGGATTTGAAAGCGGGATACATCCCAACGAATTGCCAGAATTCAACTGGGCCGAAGAACAACAATCGGCATCGGAGATATCTCTCTAGGCCCTTATCATGCTCAACTCCCCATAGACTGAGGGTTTCAAGGCGAATCAAAGGACGCTAGGTATCCATACTAATCGACAGTGGGAGCACCTTGAATTTCATAGCGGAGGTGTTGGCCCAACAACTAGGGCTACCAATCCAACCCACAACATCATTCAAGGTCCAAGTAGCAAATGGTACATCTCTTCTCTGTGAAGGCGTCTATACAAGCATTAAACTGACAATCCAAGGGCTACCATTCGTGGTGGACTTATACCCACTCGAGCTCAGTGGGGTCGATATAGTATTTGGGATACAATGGCTAAGACAATTAGGTCCGGTACTATGTGATTGGGCCTAGTTGTCAATGGAGCTCATGACAAATGGGACCAAGATTCGCCTCCAAGGTATACCAACCAGAGGTCCAAGCTCAATCAACCTCTCATCTCTCCTGAAACAAGCCCAGGAACCTGCTCAGACCATCGTCTGGGAGCTCACTTAGACATGGCCCATGCTAACCCAGGCCTAGAATGCAACCCCACAAGAAGACCATCAACAATAGCTGAAAACACTTCTCCAGCAATATGCAGCAGTATTTCAGGAGCCAACAAACCTACTGCCTTCACGGGAACATGACCACTACATTCCATTACTCCCGGGAGAGGCCCCTACAAATGTAAGACCCTATCGTTATCCTCAATTTCAGAAAAAGGAAATCAAGAAGCAAGTTAAAAAGCTGTTAGAAAAACAATTCACCCAACTGAAGGGATGGGAGATCCATCATATGGATGGCCGAACCCTGCAGGAAGGTTGGGCGAAATTTCAAAAATTTATTTTCTCCCATTTGGGAATCGCATTCCCTAATTTAGAAAGTTGCATTTTCAAGGTTCGTTCTTGAATCCAAAACCGGACCAGATCTGAAACCAAAAGGGAGGAGAGGGATATACATGATACGAAGTAACAACTCCCAATGAAGGTGTTCACACCCAAGGAGAAGACCAAAACCCACCTCCACTGAAGATGACACAGTGTGTGGTGAAGTAGGATCAGTAGGACGACTCTTCAGCAAGAATGAAACAAGGGCTGGTGAGCACGACTTCAAATTGTTTCTTCAGCCAATAAACAATATCAAGAACCTTTCTTGATCAAATCCACAAGTGGAGATCGAACTGGGTAGGGATGGCAAGAATAGGAGAGAACTCTGTAGATTGTTGTGTGTTAAAACTGAAGAATTCACCCCTTATTTATAGCCTTCTCTGGATCAGCTTCCTAATCTAATTAGGAGAGTTTCTTGATCCAAATCTGATATTTGGATCTGGACTCTTAAATGGATAAGACTTATCTTATCCTTTCAGCTAATCCTAATCAGATTATAAATCAGATCTTGCCTCCTTTTAATTAACTAACTTAAGCCCAGTTCGAATTGGGCCTTAGGCCCATTAAGCTTATGTGCTCACTTACTCTTTAACCTGTTGCTCTGTTGGCTCTCTTTGTATGGCGCGGGACCCTAACATTGATCTACACATCAACCACATGCCCAACCTCTATTACAAGGCCTGGCCGAATTCACTATAGGAGACAGTGAACCCCTGAGTCCATCACCATGGGCGCTTAATGGGCCCAACATTTACACTAAATGGTTCTTGGATTCAGCCACCTTATGAAAACCCAAGAACTGTGGGCAGATGCAAGATTAGCCCATCAGGTATTACCCTCAACGGTCTTACACTTGACCTCTCAACCCACAATGATCAAACACTGCCCGACAAGAGAGGACCTCTCCCTCGACTACAAGGTACAGTGTTGCACTCTCTACAGTGTTGCACTCTCTATATAAATATATTTTGCAAAAACAAATCTCAACGTTTGAAATTAACTGCCGACAGTTTAGGTTTCCATCAGAGAGAGTGCATTCCCCGATCATTCACTTTGTTCAACAAAGGGGTTGATCCTGTCACTATGATTACCAACTCAAGTGAATTCTCAAACTGTCCCAACATACCTAGGTTTTGACCCCCTCTAAGGATCTCACTGATTGGCATATCAAAGATAGCCCAATTTGACACCTAGTGCAATACCATAATCAAGTATAGGGGTCAGGTGTAATATTCCAATTTTGCCCATCTATCTCCAAGGTCTAGGGCAATACTGGAATTTGGTCCGGTTCAGGGTTTCAAGAAAACCCACACTGCATGTACCTCAGGTCTCACCCTGGTAGCTGAGACAAGCCACCCCAACCAACTTGGCGGCATATCAGTGTCAGCCTTGGCAGGATAAATCTCCCCAGATTAATCCAACGACTGTGAAGATTCTAAACTAACACGAGTCTCATAAGTGTCCAGTTTAAGGGTATTACACAGAAACACACCACAATGACATGAATCAATTATATATTTTATTCATTTACAATAAATGTCAAAAGATACATCAATCTGATTGGAGCTAAGGGCATACACTGTCTAACACCAACCAAGCCATAGCCCATTCTCTTCTCTAGTTCTCTTAGTCAAAAAGAAAGATGGGACATAGCATTTCTGCATTGATTATAGAGCACTTAATAACATCACCGTTGAGGATCGGTTCCCAATCCCGGTGATTAACGAGCTCAAGGAAGCCTAAATCTTTTCCAAACTAGATTTACGGGTCGACTATCTTCAGATTAGAGTGCACATGGATGACATATACAAGACTACATTCCACACACATGACGGACATTATGAATTCTGGGTCATGCCCTTTGGGCTCACAAATGCCCCAACAACGTTCCAGTCCCTCATGAATGATTTATTTCGTCCGTACTTATGACAATTTATACTGGTTTTCTTTGATGATATCTTAGTCTATAGCCCCACATGGACCAAACACATGGAAGACCTAGAAGTCACCTTGAAGGTTCTCTTGCAAAATCAACTATATGTAAAGGCACCCAAGTGTTTTTTTGGACAGTCCCATGTACACTACCTCGGCCATGTGGTAGAAGGAGGTGTGGTAATGGCAGACCCCGAGAAAGTAGCAAGCATCCAACAGTGGCCCGTACCTACAAATGTGAAGGAACTTCGAGCCTTCTTGGGCTTGACAGGATACTATTGCCGCTTCATTAGCGACTATGGCCTCATTGCTAGCCCATTAACACATCTACTAAGGAAGGATGCATTCACATGGACTCCAGAAGCCCAACGGGCCTTAGAAAATCTCAAAATGGCCTTGTCTTCACCACCAGCATTAACATTACTTGACTTCAACCAAACATTTGTTATAGAGTGCGATGCATCGGATCAAGGAGTTGGAGGTGTATTAATGCAAGAAGGGGAACCCTTGCCTTCTTTAGTAAAGCACTCTCAGTTCAGCAGGGTAGCTCAGTGTACACAAGGGAGTTGATAGTCATAG